AGAGCTTTAGAGCTTGATAATATAGAAGGAAAAAAATAATAAAGAAGGAAATTATATAGAAATATATAAATATTTTAAAATAGAGAAAAAATAATATAGAAGGAAAAAAATCAAACAGATCCCTGAGAGCTTTTATCTGGACCAGAGCACCTAGAAGAACGTATCATTGTGGAGTGATGGAGGAACCCCTTCCCCCATTCCTTCCAAAAGACTGGGTGATTCCCTTCTCAATTGGCTTTCTGATTCTCACATTTGTTTGTAGTCATGCTTGTATCATAAGCCAGCTTCTGCCTCCTATTACTGGGTGACCTTGTCTGAATTACTTAAGCTGTCTAGGACACGTTTTCTCCAATAACATCCACCTTCAGGATCTGATGAGTGGATTACCAAGTCAGAACATTGGTATAAAGCTGGCAGATTACGGTGCACAAACAATTCTGTGTCCTCTTGTGCTCCTCCCCACCCCCCATTTTTTTTTTTTTTCTGTATAAGACATTTGTTTATATCCATTTACCCTGATTCCCAGGCCTTCAGGCAATTCCTTACTCTAACCATTTAGTCTCCAGTGGTCCGTAGAATTTGTTCATTGGGCTACATAAGTAAATGTCAATTGTGGTCATTTACAAGAACTGCTGTCCAAACATGTCTAATTACTCTGCATTACAAGAATAATGAAGGGAAACTCACATTTGTTGACTTCCTATTGTGTACCAGCACTACACTGGGCACTTTCATGCCTTATCTTTTATCCTTCAAATTAGACTTGTCATTAAGTAGAAACATTGATGAAATTTTTGCTATATGGATATTAATTTTGTGCCTGGACCATAGAAGGCACTAAAAAAATAACTGTCAACCAAATAAACTTTCTTTTACCTTTTAAGCTAAATTTCACAAATATTCAGCATGGGCAGATGTGCTTCCAATCTTAAAATGAAACTGAAAATTGGTAAGTTCCAGGGGAAACTGGCCTGTAAGAAGCCGTTATCAATACATTAAATAACAAATATTTAGAGTAAATACTGTGCTCAAACTATGAAAAGATGGACATGTGGATGGCTCAGTAGGTTAAGTACCTGCTCAGGTCCTGATCCCAGGGTCCCAGGATCAAGTCCCACATTGGTCTCCTTGCTTGGTGGCAAGCCTGCTTCTCCCTTTGCCTACTTCTTCCTCTGCCTTCCTTCTGCTCCCCTTGCTTGTGCTCTCTCTGGCAAATAATTAAATAAAATCTTAAAAAACAAAACAAAACTATGAGAAGACCTGGGGCTTACGGAGCATAATATTCCAGGAACTGAGGTGCTGGCTTGTGAGACAAGACTAAGACTAGGGAAAGGTGATCTCACCGGCTCAGACTAGGCCAGGTGTGACTGAGAGTTGGTTGGGCAGAGACTTTTGCAGGTTTTCAGAAGAGATCTCTTGACAGGACTGAGCAAGGAGGATCTCGTGGGAAAAGACTAGATTCAGTGTTGGGACACTTGGGTTCTGTTCTCGATGAGGCTTAACTGGTTGGGAGACTTGGGGCAAGTCCCTTAACCTCTCCAGACATCAATTTAGCATCTGGAAAATAAAGTGAGGGTGGGGGGTGGTTATTGTTGAACTTGTTCAGTTACTGAGTGCCTTCCAGTTCTTAGGTTCTAAAATTTTCTGTCAGCCACACTTATTTTTCCTTTGAGAAGAAAAGACTTCCTATGTTTGGAATTTGAATTAAGTCAATCAATGGCATTCATGAGCCACTATGCTCAAGGGGACAGTGCCATAAGTTCCCCCCACATACACACATACACACCAAGGTTTTTTTAATGATTGTTATTTTTTAATGGTGACAAAATATACATAACATAAAGATTTACCATCTTAACCACTTTTACATGTACATTTTTAAGTGTAGAAATTCAGTAGTGTTAATTACATTCACCTTGTACAATCGTTACCATCATTCATCTCCAGAATTCTTTTCATCTTGCAAAACTGAGACTCTGGGGGCGCCTGGGTGGCTCAGTTGGTTGGGCAACAGCCTTCGGCTTGGGTCATGATCCTGGAGGCCTAGGATCAAGTCCTGAGTTAGGGTCCCGGCTCCACAGGGAGTCTGCTTCTCCCTCTGACCTTCTCCCCTCTCATGCTCTCTCTCACTTTCTCTCTCTCTCTCAAATAAATAAATAAAATCTTTAAAAACAAAACAAAAGTGAGACTTTGTACCCATTAAACAATAATAACTCCCTATTCCTGTTCCCCCCCCACCCCCCACCAGCCCCTGGCAACCACCATTCTACTTTCTGTCTCTATGATTTTTTTAAGATTTTATTTTATTTGAGAGAGAACGCACACATGTGCATGAGCATGAGAGAGAGAGAGAGAGAGCAGGAGCAGGGGAAGGGGGAGGAGCAAAAGGAGAAACAGAATCCCTGGTGAGCAGGGAGCCCAATGGCTTGATCCCAGCACCCTGGGATCATGACCCGAGCCGAAGGCAGAGCCACCCATGCACCCCAGTCTCAATGATTTTAACTACTCTAATTCCACGTATCAGTGGAATCTTACAGTATTTCTCTTTTTGTGACTGGCTTATTTCCCTTAGCAAAATGTCCTCAAGCTTCATCCATGTTACAGCATGTATCAGAATTTCCTTCCTTTTAAAGGCTGAATAATATTTCATTGTATGTATAATCCATATTTTGTCTATCCATTCATCTGTTGATGGACCCTTAGGTTGCTTCCACCTTTTAGCTCTTGTGAAGAATGCTGCTATGAACATGGGTATACAAATATTTTTTAGAAATTTTGCTTTCAGTTCTTTGGGGTATATACCCAAAGTGGAATTGCTGGATAGTATGGTAATTCTATTTTTTTAAATGTTTTTTTAAGTAATCGCTTCACCCAATGTGGGACTCAAACTCACAACCCCAAGACCAAGAGTCACACACTCCACTGACTGAGCCAGGCAGGTGCCCCTCATAATTCTACTTTTAATTTTTTGAAGAGCCACCATTCTGTTTTCCCTAGTAGTTGTACCATTTTTTTAATTAAAAAAATTTTGTAAAGATTTTATTTATTTGACGGAGAGTGACACAGCAAGAGAGGGAACACAAGCAGGGGGAGTGGGAGAGGGAGAAGCAGGCTTCCCGCAGAGCAGGGAGCCCAATCTGGGGGTTGGATCCCAGGTCCCTGGGATCATGACCTGAGCTGAAGGCACGATGCTTAAGGACTGAGCCACCCAGGCGCCCCACTTGTACCATTTTAAATTCCCACTCACAGAGCAAAAGGGTTCTAATTCCTCCACAGCCTTGTTAACACTTCTTTTCTTTTTTTTTTTTTTTTTAACAGTAGCCACCCAATAGCTGTGAGATGTATCTAATTGTGGTTTTCATTTGCATTTCCCTAATGATAATGTTGAGTTTCTCTTCGTATGCCTATCGGCCTTTGGAGAAATATCTTCAAGTCCTTTGCCTACTTTTTAACCAGGATTTTTGTTGTTGTGTTGCACTGTTAAGAATTCTTTATATATTCTATATATCATTTACTCTTTAGCAGATACATGCTTTGCAAATATTTCCTCCCATTTCATGGGTTGCCTTTTCATTCCGTTGTGTCCTTTGATGCACAGAAATTTTAAATTTTGATGTAGTCCACTTACCTTTTTTTTTCTCTGTCTGTGCTTTGGGTGTCATACCCAAGAAATCATTGCCAAATCCAATGTCATGAAGCTTTCCCGTTTTCTTCTAAGAGTTTTATACTTCCAGCTCTTACATGTAGATCTTTGGTGCATTATGAATTAACTTTTGTAAGTGGTGTAAAGTAACAGTTTAACTTCATTCTTTCACATGTGAATATTCAGTTCCCAATACCGTTTGTTGAAAAGACTAGATTTACCTCATGGAATGGTCCTGGCACCCTTGTTGAATCTTATTTTACCGTATGGGAAAGGGTTTTGGGAAGCGGGTGGAACACGAGTGACCCGGTCTCTGTCTTAGCAACTCGCTAGAGTTGAATACTAAGATTTTGTTTGAAAGAGCATTTGCCCAGCGCGATTCAGTGCTCAGTGCACACTGGGCCCATGTTTTCCCACACTGGTCTCTTAAGCTTCCCATCCAACCAGTGAGGTAGGTGGGTTGAACCCCTTCACCAAACTCAGCTCCCCAAAAGTGCATGGTCATGACTTGTGCAGAGACAGGTACAAAGTTAGGATTTGAACCCCGGGTTCCTGGCTCCTCCATGCGTCCTGCTGTTCAGGTAAGGTGGACTTTGGTGTTCTCATCTCTAAAATCTGGGCAGAAATGAAACGAGATAGCCTCTATTGAGCAGTCTGGCAGCTGTAGGATCCTAAGCATTAAGGACTCACTAAAACCAGGGGACCAAACGTGAGGTGCAGACATTGGGCCTGCAGAGAAAAGCGCAGCCCGAACTGTCCGCAAGGCCAGAATCTCAGGGCTGGAATTTCGCCCCACCCCGCTTCCCCAGCCGGGCAGACCCCAAATTCATACCCGGAACCTGGGCGCGGCTGGGCTGTGCGATTGGCGCGGGAGGGGGACGGGCAACAGAAAAATGCCTGCTACGCGATTCTCGTTCAAATGCCCCACAGCGTCTCCGGAGTGAGGCTTTACAGTTCTAACAACGTCCCCACAATCAGCTCCTTTGCTTTCTCTCCCTTTTACTCACCTACCGCGGAGTACGTTCTTCTCCGTTGCCCCTTCACTGGGTTCCTTCTTGGTACGCCCCCACCCAGTCTGGGAGGGGCGGGGCTGCTGCCCGCGTGGACAGCGCGCATGCGAATCCCCACGGTGGGTGGGGGGAGCACGGACCCCGCCCCTCGCTGCTCCACGCGTGACGTCGCGGGGGGCGCCGGCCTCCGCCCGGCTTCGAGCGGTGAGAGCGAGCGGCAGGCGGATCCGACGCCGCAGGACCGGGAAGGGATGGTGCGGGTGTTGAGTTCCTGCAGGAGGGGCTTTGCGGGGGGGAGGGGAGGCCCAGGGGCACCACCTGCGGCTGAACTCAGGCTCTGCCCTCCGCCTTCGTGCTTTCTCCCCCTTTCCAGATGTGCCGGGACGGGAGGCAGGGCAGGGACTGGGCATTTGTGACACCTCCATTTCCCTGCAGCCTCCTTCTCCCCACCCACCCCATATGTTTATCTCATCTTCCAGGGGTTCCTTTTCATCAGCCTGTCGCTTCCCGCCTGGGAAAGGGCACTCTACCTGGAAGCAGAAGACGGGTTTCAGAGCTTGGCCCTGCCACTCCTCTGTGAAAGTCCCCGAATCTCAGTTTCCACTAAGTATTTTTTGCCTTGCTTGGCCTAGTTTTAAAGTTCAGTATGACACAGTGAAATAGAAAGGAAATGGACATTATTGAGTTCCTGCAAGGCCGAGTACTATGCAAAACTGCTTTATCTGTCACATTTAGTCCTTATTATTTGCCGTTCTTTCACAGATCCCTAAACTCACAAAGGTTAACTGATTTTTCTCGCATAGCCAGTGAGTGGCGGAGGAGGATACAGACAGAACCGTTTTTGCTCCCCAGTAAAGTTCTTTTCATCAGACACTTCCTTTGGGCTGTTGGATGGAACAGTTCCTCAGCCAAACCTTATCCCCACAAGAGCTGCTTCCTGAATTTCTCCCCTTGAGAATTCTCCTTTTGGGTTCCTCTTTCCAACACAGCGTGCTCTGCTTTGCTTCTGCCTTGATTACTTCAGAAATCAAATACAGCAAACATTTATTAAGTGATGCAGAGGGGTGAACACTTAGAGTTGAGAGCCCTAAACTCTTGTCCTGGCTCTGCCACTAACTGGCCGTGTGGCCTTGGGCAAGCACCTTGTCTTTTCAGTGCTTTAGTTTCCCTTTGAATAAAATGGGTAAGTGCCTTCTGACTGGCAGGCTCTTGTCCAGTTCTCCCCTCCTATCCTCCAGCAGGCTCTCCGTGGAGGCCCGGACCCTTCTCCTCCCCATGGGCAGCTGCCAGGCAGGGCACAACCTGCATCTCTGTCTGGCCCACCACCCACCTCTGGTCTGTGCCACTTTGATCCTGCTGCTTCTTGGCCTGTCAGGCCTGGGCCTTGGTGGCTTCCTCCTCACCCACAGCACTGGCTTGCGCAGCCCTGACATCCCTCAGGTGAGTACCTTCTTCATCCTTTTCACACATCCTTGCTCGTGCTGCTAATCTCTCACCTCTCTCCCACCTTTCTTTTGCACACAGGACTGGGTCTCTTTCTTGAGATCTTTTGGCCAGCTGACCCTGTGTCCCGTGAATGGGACAGTCACGGGGAAGTGGCATGGGCCTCAGGTCGTGGGCTTACTGACCACCTTGAACTTCGGAGATGGTCCAGACAGGAACAAGACACAGACATTCCAAACTATGGTCCAGGGTAGTCACATGGGATTGAAAGGTGAGATCAAAGAGGACTGTGGGTTGGGCATCAGAACACTTAGGGGTGGGTTCTGTCTCTGACTTCTCCAGCCTGGTGACCTTGGGCATATCCCAAGGCCTTAGTCACTTCTGCTGTAGTAAGGGCTACATTCTTTCAGTAACTACAGTGATACTCTTTGGGTTCCCTGTAGGTGTTTTCTCTTTTCCCTTCCAGCTCTGAGGTTCTTTGAGTCTGTCCTTGGAGGTGTGATGCGATGGGGTAGATTTGACCTAATATTCTTTCTCTTCCTTCTTTATCCCTCTTGCTTACTCCTCTTAGAGGCACCTTCTTTTTCCTCAGGGATGTTCAAGAAGCATGTCCTGTTCAATTAACCAAGTGCATTGAGTGCCTGCTCTGTTCTTAGCACAGCTCTGTGTGCTATGGAGGATGGAGGATACGGAAAAAATTAGACGTCATCCATTCCCACAGAGCTTAGAGTCTTCTGGGAAAATGATGGGGGGAAGGTAGTGTCAGTGGATGCCATTGATTCCTGTGTGAGATTTGGCCTCAGGTTCCTTGTCTGAAATCAGAGAGATGAAAAGGGAGGAGAGAAAGGTGGAACTCTCTGTCTTCTGATGCTATCATTCTAAGATTCTCTTGTGAATTCTTTGGGGGGTGGGCATGCAGGGGAAGGTCTCTAATGTCCAGGTGTACATCTGTGTGGTCAAAGAGAGTAAAGGAAGATGTCTGATACCTACAGACTTGAGATAATTTTTCCTGTTCTTTTTATTTCATAAATATATGTACGTCAGCTGTATTGAGATAGGATCATATAACATAAAATTCACACATTTAAAAGGTATGATTCAATGGCTTTTCGTATCATCCCAGAAGTGTGCAACTACCACCACAATCAATTTTAGAGCATTTCATTCCCTGAAAAGAGATCCTGTACCCGTTAGCAGTTGCTCCCCTTTTCCTCCTAGCTTCCCAGACCCAGGCAACTACTAACTTTTCTTTTTCTGTGGATTCGCTCATTCGGAACATTTCATACAATGTGTGCTGTTTTGTGACTGGCTTCTTTCCATCAGTATGTTTCCAGGGTACAATCCATGTCATAGCACGCATCCGTATTCTGTGTTTCTGTTGCTGAATAACATCCATTGTATGGATATTCCACATCTTATTTATCCATTCATCAGTTGTTTGACATTTGAATTGTTTTTACTTTTTGATTTTTTACTATTTTTACTATTACTATTTTACTATATTATTACATTTACTATACTATTACTGTTTACTATTTTTACTATTACAAACAATGCTGCTGTCAACATTCGCATACAAGATTCTGTGTGATCGTACATTTTCATTTCTCTTGGGGGAAATAAAATACCAAGAAGTGGAATTCCTGGGTCATATTATAACTCTGTGTTTAATCTTTTGAGGAGCTGCCAGACTGTTTTCCAAGGTGGCTGTACCATTTTGTGTTTCCCCCCAGCAGTGTGTGAATTCCAGTTTCTCCATGTCCTTACCAACACTTATTATCTTTTTTTAAAAATTCTAGCCATCCTAGTCATTGAGAAGTAGTATCTCACTGTGGTTCTAATTGGCATGGCTAATGATACTGAGCATTTTTTTATGGCTTCTTGGTCATTTGTCTATCCTCTTTGAAGAAATGTATATTCAGAGTTTTGCCTTTTAAAAAAATTTGGATAATTTGCCTTTTAATTATTGAGTTGTAAGAGTTGTTTGTTTTCCTAGACACAAGTCTCTCTCTCTCTCTCTTTTTTTTAAGATACTATGTGTTTATTTGACAGACAGAGATCACAAGTAGGCAGAGAGGCAGGCAAAAAGAGAGGGGAAAGTAGGCTCCCCGCTGAGCAGAGAGCCCAATGAGGGGCTCCATCCCAGGACCCTGGGACCATGACCTGAGCCAAAGGCAGAGGCTTTAACCTACTGAGCCACCCAGGCGCCCCTAGATACGAGTCTCTTATCTGATGTATGATTTGCACATATTTTCTCCCATTCTCTGGGTTATCTTATCACTTTGTTGATGGTGTTCTTTTTTTTTTTTTTTTTCTTTTAAGATGTTTTTTGAGAGCAAGAGAGAAAGAGTACAAGCAGGGGGAGGCAGGGGGCAGAAGGAGAGGGAGAAGCAGACTCCCTGCTGAGCAGCATGCCTAATGTGGGGCTGGATCCCAGGATTTGGGGATCATGACTTGTTCCAAAGGCAGACACTTAACCAACTAGCCACCCAGGCGCCCCAAAGTATTTTTCTTTTAGTTGCTTGTGCTTTTAGTGTCTTGGTTAAGCAGAGCTTTGCCTAACTCAACCTCACGAAGATTTACCCCTATCTTTTCTATTAAAGTTTTATAGTTTTAACTCTTACATTTAGCTGTAGGATCCATTTTGAGTTAACTTTTGTGAATGGTGTGAGGATGGGGTTCAGCTTTGTTCTTTTGCAAGTGGCTCTTCAGTTGTCCCAGCATGTTTTGTTGAAAAGACAGTTCTTTCCTTTGAATAGTCTTGGCACCGTTACTGAAAATCAGTTGACCATGGATGTATATATAGGTTTATTTCTGGATTCTCAGTTCTGTTCCACTGATTTATGTGTCTGTCCTTATGGTAGCTCCATACTCTTAATTACCGCAGCTTTGTATTAAGTTTCAAATCAGAAAATGTGAGTCTTCCAACTTTGTTCTCCTTTTTAAAAATTCTTTTGCTTATTCTAGATCCCTTTAATTACCATGTGGATTTTAGGATCGGCTTCTCAAGTTCTGCTTCTGCAGACAAGGCCTGTTCTTTTTATAATGGTTAGAAACAGAATAAAAATACGACTGCATCATCTAAGCAATAATTATTGAGCACCTACTATGTACAAGCATGGGGAATATAGAGACATGTAAGACATGGGCCTCGGCCTCGAGCTGCTTACAACATCTAGCAAGGATACAGATATGAACAGAAGCAAATACCTTTAAATGTGTGAAGGAGCACACAGGTTACAGTGGGAATACTCAGGAGTCTGTCACACAGGGTTAGTGAAGAGGCTTTTCCAAGGATTCAGTGCTGGAGCCAAGGCTTGAGGGAGAGTTAGGAGTGTGCTCTTCCAAGCATATACAAAGGCATGCCGACGGGGACCATAATAGCATGTTTGAGAACTCCAAGGGGTTCAGTTTGAGTGCTGCAGGGGAAGGAGTGTTGAATGAGTGGCAAGAGATGTATTTGAGGAAGCAGACAGAATCCTCTGGAGGGTCTCATGTGCCAAGCCCAGGTAGTTGAACTTTATCTAGTGCATTGGGCAAACTCAAAATTTTTGTCAGGAAAATAGAATGAGTTTTTTGCTGTTCTTTGAAAAAGATCACACTCTGTTGGCTGACTGCCTGGTAGAAGTGTGTCCAATGGCAGGAAGACCGGGTAGGAGGTGGTTACAATAGAAAGATGATGAGGACACCCAAACTAAGACAATGCCGTGAAAGAAGGGGACTGATCCGAGAGAGACGTTGACAGTGGGTGGACAAGACTTGGTGGATGATTCGATCTGGGGAATGTAGAGAAACAGGGGATGGTTCTCTTAGAAAGTTTGCATGTATATTTCTTATAGTCATTATGATGTGTATATACACACACAATATATACACACACATACATACACAGTGGTTTGTATTTCTCTTTTTTCACTTATGACATCATTTTTTTAGTTTCTGCCTGGTCTGAACATTATTATTTTATTGGATGTACACCAATGGACCTGTAAAGATCCATTAAGTGGTTGGGCCATCATTTGTAACTCTTTTCCTAGTGTTAAACAGCTTATTGCTTCCTATTTTGTGTGTGTGTGTGTGTGTGTGTGTGTGTGTGTGTGTGTAACACAATAAACATCTTGGTATACTTGGCATCTTTCTTTTGAATCCTTTCCTTACAATGAGTTTCTATAAATGGCATTACTGAGTCAAAGGGTATGGACCTTTTTTTAATAGACAGATTTGTTTTGTTGTGGATTCGGACCACAAAGAATTATAAAAAGCACACGTAAAAATCCGTCTCACCTCTCCTGCAGTGTCCACAGTTTTGTTTTGTTTTTTAAGATTTTATTTATTTGACAGAGAGAGACAGTGAACAGCGAGAGAGGGAACACTAGCAGGGGAAGTGGGAGAGGGAGAAGCAGGTTCCCTGCCAAGCAAGGAGCCCAATGCGGGGCTCGATCCTATGACCCTGGGATCATGACCTGAGCCAAAGGCAGCGGCCTAATGGCTGAGCCTCCCGGGTGCCCCCAGTGTCAACAGTTTGATGGGCATCTTCTCAGGCACAGTCTGTACCCATTTAAAATTGTGATAGATACAGCCACATTGTCTTCTAAAAGGTGTCACTCACTGAGAGTGCCCATTTCCTTACATCTTCAGTAACTCATTATTTTTACTTATTTATTTTTAAATATCTTATTTATTTATTTGACAGAGAGAGAGCACAAGCAAAGGGAGAAACAGGCAGAGGAAGAAGCAGGCTCCCCACTAAGCAAGGGAGCCCGATGCGGGGCTCGATCCCAGGATCCTGGGACCATGACTGAGCCACCCAGGTGCCCCAGCAACTCTTGTTATTATCAGTCTTTTTAATTTTTACCAATTTAATGAGCAAAGAAATTGCCTGATTGTTTTCATTTACTTTCTTCTGATTGTTAGTGAGGTTGACTATCTTCTTGTAGGTTTATTGGCCATTTTCATGCCTCCATGAATTTTCTGTTCGTATCCTTTGCTCTTTTGTCTTTTAAGTTGCTTATCTTTATGTTTTTGATTTTTAGAAGATCCTTATATATTCTGGATTGTAAACCTTTTTACCAATTAAATATAGGCATTTGGGAGCACCTGGGTGGCTCAGTCTGTCAAGCATTTAGCTCTTGGTTTTAGCTCAGGTAAGGATCTCATGGGTTATGAGATCAAGTCCCATGGGCTCCTTGCTCAGAGGGTAGTCTGCTTGAAGAGTTTCTCCTGCTGTCCCCCCCAGTAAATAAATCTTTTTTTTTTTTAAGATTTTATTTATTTATTTGACAGAGATCACAAGTAGGCAGAGAGGCAGGCAGAGGCAGTGGGAGGTGGTAGGGAAGCAGACTCCCCGCTGAGCAGAGAGCCCAATGTGGGGCTCGATCCCAGGACTCCGAAATCATGACCCGAGCCGAAGGCAGAGGCTTAACCCACTGAGCCACCCAGGCGCCCCCCAATAAATAAATCTTTACCAAAAATGGATAGGTATTTTTATCCATTCTGTTACTTTTCTTTTAATTACCTTTCATCTTTGAGAAGCCTTCAGCTGTTACAAGGTTAAGTTTATTGCTCTCATTCTTTACTCAGGCTTGTAGATCTTGTGTCTTTTTTAGGAAGGCCTTCCCCACTATAAACTTAGAAAATATTCTTCTGAATTTTCTTTGGGTTTTGTTTTGTTTAATTTGTTTGTATAGGTCTCTAGCACATCTGGACTTTATTTTATAGTGTGAGATGAGTCTGGCTTTTTTTTTTTTCCCCCAAATGGAAATTGTCCCAAGGGCATTGACTAAATAGACCATCCTTTCCCTGCTAATTTGAAATGGGATGTGAACCTTTTCATGGATTTTGGTACCTACTAGGAAACTGCTTTCTTAAAAGGGACAGACTCCTTTATATAGACTGACATTGGCAATGTGTATCTGCCCCAGTTTCACTGCAACTTTGTGAGCATTGGCATGATTGTTTTATTGATTGTAAGCAAAGTTAATTTTTTGTTTATACGGATACATAGTAATTGTTATTTCTTATTGACACAGTGATAGTGTACAGAGTACTTTATTGAATGCCAAAACAGCTGGTACTGAAGGAAGCCTTAGAAATGAATGAAAGTCTGAAGATAAATGGCTTCCACCCCACCCTCCAACTTCTTCCACTGCCTCTCCTGTGCCTCTCATAGGATCTTCTGCGGAAGAGCGGGTCCTCATTACTGCCAGAGTGACCACAGAAAGGACCCCAGGAACGTGCCTGTATTTTAGTGCTGCTTCAGAAATCCTGCCCTCCAGCCAGCCACCCCTCTCCTGCTCAGAGGAGGGAACAGGAAATGCCACCTTGAGTCTTAGGACGACTGAGGAGTGTGTCAGCATCTGGAGCCACGAAGGCCTTGTGCTCACCAAGCTGCTCACCTCGGTAAGAGCCTCAGGTTTTTGGGATTTCATACACTGCCAGCTGAACGCTCTGCCTTGAAGGCCACTGGGGGCAGTTTTACCTAACAGAAAAGGCACAGGCTCTGTCATTTTGCCCCAGAGGCTGTGTGACCTTGAGCGAGCATCTGAGCCTCTCTGAGCCTCAGCTTCCTTCTCTGTAAAATGGAAAACATGATACTATCCCCTGATGCCAACAAATAAAGATGAATGAGAATGAATGTCAGGTGCCCAGTACAACGCCTGCTACGTAACAGAGAGTGGATGAGTGAGAGCTATTACTATTAACGATTGTCTTTAAACAGAATAAAATATGATCTCCACCTTAAAGGAATGCAGAAGCTGTAATGAGAGGCTGAATGGGCTAATCGCTATCATAGAGATGTTATTCAAACACAGAGTAAGGAGCAATTAACCCTAACTTGAACATTTATGGAGAGTGCTTCACAGAGAAGGTGGCATTTAAGAAAGAGAATTGTGTACAGTAGTTTATAATGTACAAAGTACTTTCAGGTTCATTATCTCATTTGATCTTAAAACAGCCTTTTGAGGTAGCTGTTATTATCCCATTTTACAGATGAGGAAACAGGCTTAGAGAGAGGGAGTGAATTGCCCAAGGCCACATAGCTGGTTAAGTGGCAGACCCAGGATTACAACCTGTGCCTTCTGACTGCAGTCCCAGGCTTTGTCTGCCCTTTCAGGGTGACCCTGGAGGAGGAGGAAGATGTGGGCAGAGAATGCAATAGAGGGTATTCTGGAGAAGGGACATAAATTCCAGGCCAAAGGACCAGCACGAGCACAGGCCTAGAGATTGAAAAGTGTCTGGCCTTGGAGGGCACTCCATGAGGAGGGGCTTAGGAAAGACTGAGGGGAAGAGACAGGAGAGAGGCAGGGGCCTTATTGTGAGGCTCCGTAACTTGAGGCTAAAACACTATGACTTAATACTGCAGGCCATGGGGCCACTGATGCTGGTTGAGAGGGACCGACTGAGCAGAGGAGACAGACCAGTTAGGAGGCTGCTGCGTGCTTTTCCCTCACATGTGCAAAGACCCCAGTGAGGAACACCACTCAGGAGCTTAAACCAGAGAAAATACTGGTTTCCAGACCTGGCCCTGCTCAAGCATATTTAAAATGGCAGTAGTGAACTTTCCTATCTCATGGACACATTAGAGGGGCTCGCTTCAATGGTTGGTTGAGAACGCAGTTCATAGACCATTGAGACAATTAGCTTGTATGGAAATTACATTTTCCATTTGGTTGCTCCTTGGATATAGAGAGCCCTCTCCCTCCACAGGGGCTTCTCTCTATAGCTCTTGGCCCCGGGGATAAAATATCTTCCCAGGAGAAGATTCTCCACCCTCCCTCCCTAGCATTCATTCCTCCTTTCCCTTTGCCCGTCCTTAGGAGGAGCTGGCTCTGTGTGGCTCCAGACTGCTTGTTTTGGGCTCCTTCCTGCTTCTCTTCTGTGGCCTTCTCTGCTGTCTCACTGCTGTGTGCTTCCACCCGCGCCGGGAGTCCCACTGGTCTAGAACCCGGCTCTGAGGGCGCTGGCCTAGTTCCCATCTTGTTCTCAGGTAAGGTTCTTTGCCCCAGTCCTGTGGGAGTAGGGGATGGGGTGGACGTGGCAATTATAACTGAGATAGGGTCATTCATAAACAATATGGTTTTACTTATTTTTGAACTTCATGTAGATGGACTCATATTCTTTTGTGACCGCCTTCTTTCGGTTAACATTCTGATTTTGAGATTCATCCATAGCTGTAGTTCATATCCAAGCTTTCTGGCAACAGTGGTGAGTTAACAGGATTCAGATCTGATGATGCATCCTGGATATGAATTCTGTTTATTTTGCTTTTGTCCTGGAATCCTGATACCCAGTTTTATGATGCAAATTTTGTAAAACTCACCTTGAACAGCACAAAAGGATTGATGATGCCCATCTACTAGGCACAAAGTATGTGCCGAAGCGTTTTACATACACTTTCTCTTTTCCATCAGCCTTCATTGCATCTAGAAAAAGTTGGGTTTGCTAACAGTCTTTGGAGGAACACTGCTAACAAAGGTGGCAGTGGGTGAGGAACATTTTGGCTAACTAGTCCATGTGTCTGCTCATTAAGGAAAGAATATTTCTATACAAAAGTCTTACTCTGTCAGGTGGAGGTTATATAATTTGAGAGTTATCTGTTGTGCACCCAGCTCTTTTTTTTTTTTTTTAATTTATTTATTTGACAGAGATCGCAAGTAGGCAGAGAGAGGAGGAAGCAGGCTCCCTGCTGAGCAGAGAGCCCGATGTGGGACTCGATCCCAGGATGCTGGGATCATGACCTGAGCCGAAGGCAGAGGCTTTAACCCACTGAGCCACCCAGGTGCCCCTGTGCACCCAGCTCTTAAACTGTTCTCAGCTTCAGTAACTAGCTGCTGTACCCTAGGAGATAGCCACGGGAGAAGCAGAAACAGCCCAAGCCCAGGGAAAGGCTCTGGCCAGAGAAACTGGACGCTCAAGATCCACATTGCTAATTTTGCTCAGGGCTAGGCTCCACCTACTTGGGATAGGAGATAGTGGAACCCTCATAGCTTTTCTTAGATCTGAGTGGACTGGGAAATGAAGGCTTTCTGGCTCCTAGCAGATCCTGGGGATCTGAAGGGGCCCACCCAGTTGGGATGAGTGTTTGTGCCCATCTGTAGTCACCACTTCCTCTGCTCCTTTCTCACTTTTTTTTTTTTTTAAGATTTTATTTATTTATTTGATAGAGAGAAAGAGATCACAAGTAGGCAGGGAAGCAGGCTCCCTGCGGAGCAGAGAGCCCGATGTGGGACTCCATCCCGGGCCCCTGGGACCATGACCTGAGCCACCCAGGCACCCCCTTCCTCACTCTTTACAGCCATCCCAGAGCTTCCCCCAAAAGCCCTCTAATCTGTCCTGTTTGTTTTTTCATTTAAGATTTTTATTTATTTATGTGTGAGACAGAGAGAGGGAGAGCACACATGAGTAGGGGGAGAAACAGAGGCAAAGGGAGAAGCAGACTCCCCACTGAGGAGGGAGCCCCACAGGGGAGCTCGATCCCAGGACTCCAGGATCATGACCTGAACTGAAGGCAGATGCTTAACCAACTGAGCCTCCCAGGCACCCCTCTGCCCCTGTTTTTAATCTTCTTTTTCTCCAGGTGTGAATCAACTTCTCCAGACTTTGTTCTAAGTTGGAAGAGATGTTACCAAAAAATGGAGAGCTGGAATGTGGGGGAAAATAAAAGGCTTTTTTTGCCCAGTGTTGCCCAGGGTGTTTATTGGGGATTGGGTTGAGGTGGGAATTTCAGGGTAGACAGGCTTGGGGGACTTTTCCTTGTTGAGTCTTTAGTTTGGGATACAGGCTGGCATAAGGCATGGATTACTGCAGCTCTATCCTCTGTTATGACTTGCCTTTGGAAAACACTTGGTTTTAATCGCAGCTGTGCCACCTTATGTCTTGTTTTCTTCTATGAAAGAAAATCAATAGTTCCAACTAGTTGAGAGAATCAGGTGGGTATGGTCATGGGAATGCTTTGACATAAATGCTGTGTGACCTTGAGCAGGTCATGCAATTGTGAAAGGCCTGCTTCCTGAAGGGATTTGACAGACTGAGTTTTCCCAGCAAAGATTCCTCAAACTTGGGAGCCCACGTCCTGGCTGTACGGTTACTAGCCAGAGCAGTCCATTTTCCCGCCTTTTCCGCGCCCAGCAAGCCTCCTTCCCTTGCCCCTCCCAACCGCTACCCTATACGCAGGCGCAGATCCCGGCTTCTTTCCTTCCACTCGCGCCCCCTCAAAGCTTCCCCTAGCAACAAGCTCGGGCTCAGCGCTAAGGCGGGGCGAGCGCATGCGCCGCAGCTCTCTCCACTGCCACTTGTCGGACTGCTTGCTGAGCTCCTCCCCCTCCAAGCCTAGCCCTTCTCCCCGCCTCCTCCCATCCAGGGTCCGCGTGGCGGAGCGCGCGCGCACTCTGGCCCGGTAACTGCCCATCTCCCTGGCCCCGGCTGTGAGGATAGGGGGGCGGGGCCATTTCATTTGTGGTTCCGCCCCCTTTGGCCCGGCGTCCCTACCGCGCCTGCGCGCTCCCGCCCGGTCTCCATCTTGGAATTGGGAGGAAGAGGGAGAGGGAGACCGGGACGAGACCGGGGCTGTGGTGCGGAGAGAGGCTGAGACTGAGAAGAGGAGAGGGAGAGAAGGCGCGGGGACCGTCCGTAGCTACAATCTTTCAGCTACCCTCAGGAGAGAGAAGGGAAAAGGGAGGAGGCTGGGGCGGGAGTGAGGGCTGTCACCCTCGGACCCTGGTGTGAGAGGGGCCGTGCGGCCGGACGTCCTCGGGGTGGGCCCCCTGTCGGAGGCCGAAGAGCTGGGGTTCAGGCCCTTCGGTCGCGAATTTCCGGGCTTGACCCCTCGCTTCTCAAATATCCGGGTATCAGCCCCTCTGACCCCACATATCCAGGACTCGGGTCCCAACCTCTTTAAACCTGGGGCTCTGTTTCGTAGGATTTCAGAAATCTGGGGTTCAGGCCCCTGCGTGCACCAGTATCCGGGGTTCATTCCCCGCGCGTTCAGATACCAAATTCAGCTTCCCTTCGTTCAAATATCTGGGGTTCAGACCCCACAACCAGAAATCCGGGATTCAGCAACTGTCGCCCTCGAGGAGGAGGAGGACTGGACCGCGAGGTCAGATCAGGTTGTCACCCCCTCCCCTCCAGGGGAGGCTTCCCGGGCCCGCCCCTCAGGAAGGGCGAAAGCCGAGGAAGAGGTGGCAAGGGGAAAGGTCTCCTTGCCCCTCTCCCAGCTTGGCAGAGCCGCTGGAGGACCCCAGGAGCAGGCGGAAGCGCTGGGGCACCATAGTGACCCCTACCAGGTGAGACACGGGGTGCAGGGGCGCGGGTCCCTGTGTCTAGCATTGAGAAGAAAGGGTGCTCCTTTTTGAGGAACTGGGCCTGGGTAGGCCCTCTTCTCAGGATGAAGCCCAGTGGGCCAGTGGTCAGCCTCTGGCTAGCGGTGCCTTCTGCTGCCACCTTGTTCCTCTTCATTATGTTTGTCTGATGGGGGACCTAAGGTGACAGGGTCTTTGATGTCATGGGGGGTCACACCCTAGGGTGCTTGAGCTAATCAGATGGGTTTGCACTCTTCTGGTCTTCTATGTTCACTTTGCCCCTTACAGCTACCTGTTCTCTGATTATACCCCTTTCTCTGGATTGCTTTGGGATGTTGATTCCCTTGCCTTTGATCTCCATGGTGGGTCCACTTATCTGCTTTTTAGGCATGGTCTGTTTGGATTGTCCTTTCAAGGAAGTGTGTGTGTGTGCATTTGTGTTGAGTAGTGCCTGGCAATATTTTTTCCTAGCTATATCGTTACCTTCCAACCTCTTGCTGATGGTGTAATCTCATACATTTGTCAAGCGATCTGTCATTTAGAAAGTGCTTTACATCTGTTCTCTCATGTGACACCTCCCCCTCCATTCACCCTGTGGGGCCTCTTTTATTGCTGTCTTCCCATTTTGCAGTTGAGAATATTGAGGCCCAGAGAGGTTGCCCAAGGTCACACCGTGGCAGAATTAGGATTGAAACCCAGATTCTTGATCAAGTTTTGCCCCCGCTCCATACCTGTCTCTTGGCATCTCTTCTTGGCCAGGGATCCAGAGGAGAATGAGTTGGGGTGAGATTTAAGAGTGAGGGAGAGAAGAGCTTCCTTTTGGGGAGGGTTATACTCGGAAGCTTTTTCTGTTGGTAGGCTCTGACTCCTGTCTTCTGTCTCGTGGATTTTTCTCTCTACTGTGACCTTCATCTTTACCCTGATTCCATTCGTTGGCCTGGGTTCCTGAGAGGGCTCTCTTCTTTTGACAAATGATAGCCATAGTGGTGTCTCTTCACAGTTAAAGCCAAGCTGCTGGGGTAGGATGGTCCCCAAAGTATTAAATCCTTGTGGTGACCCTGGAGGCAGGGAAGGAGAAATCCATATGCCAAGTGTCTGCATAGTGTTTCTAGGTTTGAGATCTCATTAAAAATCTCACAACAGCCCTATGCTGTAATCCATTTTATCAAAGAGAAGACCAAGTATAAGGAGCCTACTCAAAACCCTGTTGTTACATGTTGCTGGTGAGATGTACTGGTAGTGTAGCTTAGGGACAGACAGACTTGGGTTTCCTCATCTGCAGAATGGTGATAACATTGTTTTAGAAGGTGCCTGTGAGTTAGCACAGACATTGGTAATCACACAAATGTTCATTATTTGAGGAAGAGGCTCAGTGTGATGTTTTGTTGGCATCCCTTATATGTGGCTTGGGGTCCTGGGTTGGCATTCTGGGCTGGGTGCTGGTAAAAAGGTCAAGAAGATTCCTTTGGCAAGTTGTGAGCACCTGCCTTTGTGTGTGGGTGTGTGGTGGGGGTGAGAGGTGCTTAGCAGTGTTGCTGGCAGGAGAATGGAGAAAGGGGCCTGTTTGGAGCAGCTTGGGAGCTGCTGAGGGCTTGGCTGAAGGCAGTCAATCAATCTCCTAGGCTATTCTGAGCCCTCTGCACCCTGGGGGCCCACTGAAGAGTCAGGCTTACTTCTTGCCCTCCAGCTTCCAGTTGGGCTAAGGAGACAAAATTAACAACACAACAGGAAACAATGCACGACAGAATATAATTACACGCTAAATTGTTAGGTGCTTTAACGGAGCTAGAACTCTGCCCTGGGAGGCCAACTCTGCTGAAGGCTCTTTTTGTGCCTAAATTCCAACAAGTGCTTAGCTGGGAGCCTGGCCTGGAATTCCCTGGGGGAAAGGGGCGGGGTCCTCCGCTTCTTCCTACTGCAGGAGCTTTCTGTGGGTATTGGGCTGTGTGCTCTAGGAGCTCTCCCTAAAGGCTAGAGTGGTCAAGGGAGGCTTCCTGCGGGATGGGAATGAGCTTGAGGTGAGTTGCTAAGACAGTAGTAAGCACACTGGCCTGACTGGAGAGAAGGTCCTGTTCTCTGACCTTGGAGAAATCCTTCTTCCTTTCTGTGCCTCAGTCACATAGTCTGTGAAATGGCGATCACCATCTTGCTCTGCTTATTTCCTGCATAGTAGTAGAGGACCAGCTTTGGGCAAGACTTAACCTTTTCTGAGCTTATTTCCTCATCTGCAAGATAGGGGTAATAGTAAATTCTCATAAAATTGTGGTAAGGATTGAATGAGAGAGATTCATGTAAGGTGCTTCCTGTTACATGCTTAGGCAATGTTACTTGTACACTACAAATGTTCTGTACCTTTTCATGAAGCACATGTGATTGGACTGGACAAGTAAGGCGGCCCAGGTCACAGGCCCTAAAAGCCAGCTGTCATTGCTATCCCTGTCCTCGTTCTACATCTCCTTCCTACCACAGTGTCCCTAACCCTTTTTGAGAGCAAGTCCTCTGGCCCTTGTGGGCCAGTACCCACTTCTAACAATGGCCGGATTTCCACTGCCTCCGGCCTGGCTGTTTCCTGCTCTCTTCCAGGGTGTGAGAGGTTGAGGGAGGAGGGGGCCTCGACGCCAAGGGGAACAGGAAGGTGCCTGGAAATATTTGGGGTATGGGAGTTGTGGGACAGGACACTTGGGAATCTGGGGTTCTGGCTGGGAGGTGGGATCTTTTATTCTTGAGGGGGAGAAGTAAGGGTTGTAGCGAAATGGATCCTATTGAGGGCTGGGAGTGGTGAGGATGCTTTGCTCTCAGTCTTCCTAGCAGTTTTAGGGACTCCAGGGACCCGGCCCCCGTGCTCTGGTTGCCAGGGCAACTTCATTTTTTTGGAGCTTTGATGTTGTTCCTAATCTCCCCCTTGCCCTTCCTCTGCCGTGCCTCCCCCTCATCAGGGAACTAGTGGAGGAGAAGGCAGAAACTTGAGAGGCCCCTTCCTTTCTCTTTCTTAATGTCCCATCTTTGCTCTAAGGGTCTGCTCTTCATTCTCCAGGTCAGGCCCCTCTCTCAGGGCCCCCAGGGGCCATCATGCCAGCTGGGGGCCGGGCCGGGAGCCTGAAGGACCCCGATGTGGCTGAGCTCTTCTTCAAGGATGACCCTGAAAAGCTCTTCTCTGATCTCCGGGAAATTGGCCATGGCAGTTTTGGAGCTGTGTACTTTGTGAGTTGGGGCTTAGGAAAACGGGGTAGGGACAGGCCTGCATTCTTCCTGCCGTGGGTCCACAGCCCTCTACACTGCTGTACCACACCAGCCTCTCCTGCCCTCTTCTGTTGGGCCAACAAGACTTCCCGCTGCCCAGTTCTCACCAGGGGCCTTCACCACCTTCTGATCTGGTCTTA